ACTTGTTCTCAGAGCAGCAATACTTACCATGTGTGGCTCCTTTCGCAAGCAAATGTCCTAGAGATAACTTTGAGTGGGATAAGAGTAGGAATTTCCTTCCTCCTTCATTAGTAACAGAATCTGTAGCTGATATGTCTGAGGCAGAGTGACGAGGATTGTTTTGAGAGTGGAGAGATAATATGAAAGAAAAGAGTTTGTAAAGTGAGCAAAAGGTTGGGTCTGTATGGTCAAGGGTTATCCTCAGAAAGCCTAAAGATTTGCTGAGAGTCTACCAGGTATTAGGTGATTATTTTAATATACACCTCTTAGAGAAAGGGTACCTAGTACAGCATAGCTATTCAACAGGTTGACTTGAATTGATGGCATACCTATTCCGGGGTACCTAGAGGGGCAGAAGACTGAAGGGACCTGGACCTGAATGAGGGCTGAGATTGCATGGGAAGCAGCTCGCTATCATCACACCTTCTACAGTGCTCTTTACTTGGAAGACAGGAATGGCCAAGGGACAATTAACAGTTAATACTTGCACAACATTCTAAAAAAGTAGTAATGCTAAACGTTATGTGAGAAATTGGGGGTGGGTGAAGAAACCTAATTGTAATACTCTAACCCAATTCAGAATAATGACAAGAATTTAACACTAATCACACGATATACTGCACAGAGCAACTCATCGGTGAAACCTGCTGCAGAGTATGTTCAATGGGATGGAAAGGCTCTTCACACCAAAGAGACTGTTTCTTGCCTCAGAGAGGGCCACCTTTAAAGAGACTGAAAATACAAGTACAATAAAAGATGACTGGTTGCTAATGGGAGCCCTGGTGGCGCAGTGGTTAAGAGCTATGGCTGCTAACCAAAAGGCTGGCAGTTCAAATCCACCAGTGGATCCCTGGAAACACTATGGGGCAGTTCTACTCTGTCCTATAGCGTCACTATGAGTCAGAAATGACTCAACGGCAACGGGTTTGGTTTGGTTGCTAGTGCATTTACAGAAAAATGCAAACCAAGGGGAAGATATGTGGATAGAAAGAAAGAGAACTCAAATTCAACAGTTCTTCATATTAATTTTATGTTGTAATTCTTCAAGTGAGAAGACAAGCTCAGTTGACTGTCAATAGCCAAGTCTAATTCTGATTAGTTTAAAAATAAACCAAAACCACAACTTCATAGTATGCAGATGGAAGCTAGCTTCCTCATAATGGCCACAGGGTTTAAATGATTATTCCTCAACCACCTCCCTGACCTTACCCCTGATAACGAAGGGTTTAATGTACTGAGAGTTTACTCTACTTAATCAAAATGGCTTAGCCTCTAGGTACATTCAAGAAGCCAATTTAGAATGTCTTGGGCTATTAGGATACTCTTCTGAATGCTAATCTCAAGAACAGTGTCCAGATTACAGCAGCAGCTACAACAAGAATTATTTGAGTCTGTAGCTCTAAAAGCTGCTATTTGACTTAGAGCCACAATGGAGGTCACTTGGTAAATTCACTTATTCTCTATTCACAAGCTCATGACTGGCCTTCTTCACTCTCTACGGTTGTAATTTAAAAAAAATTTTTTTAACAAATTTGGGAAATGAAAGCATCTCTAATTATGGCACACAAAGAGGATTTTCATCATTTCTAAGGATATGCAGAAACATGTGCCAAGTCTCGTAGGAACTTAGAAACTAACAAATTTGCCTTGCTTAGTACATCTGATGCATAATCAAATGCTGAATATTCAGATGTCTGATGAGCCCTTTGTTTTCTCACATGTGGACTGAGATGAACATCAATTGACCCTTAACATTTAAGAATTAATAAGTAAACTCGTATTCAAGAAAGCCAAAGGCTGAAATCTTTGGGATTTTCCAGGGGGTTGTACAAATGATGTGCAGAGTCTGGAGGCCTGACAATTGGAATATTAATGAACAATCTACCACAGCTGTGCAGACAGTGACACTGCAAGCAATTTCCACTCCAGGAGCAGTAGATCCTGGTGGTAAAGAGCATGGGCCCATGGGAGCTCCAGATTCAAATCCTGGCTCAACCACTTGTGAGCTCTGTGACTTCAGGTAAGTTACTCAACCTCTCAGCTTCCTCAACTAACAAATGAGGACGATTATATCTACCTCACAGGATTATTCCAAGGACCACATGAGATACTGGCTGTGATTTGCTCAGCCCTGTGGCTGAACACCAGAAGTGCCGGAGAAATGGCTAACTCTCATTACTGTTACTGTCACTGTGGCTGTCCTTTCCGCTATTTGTTCTTACCCATCACGTGCCATGAATAAAATATGAAGCAAAGCTGGGAGATGGTGGGGCCAAGCAGAAACTATGACCCTGTCACTCCTGTTCCAGGGGCCTAGGGTCTGAGGACCAGAACCAGGGAAGAACAAAGTATATTTCAAGTCTAAATTCTAATGCTGATATCATTTCAGAGAGGGTCTCTCAACGCTTGGTTTTATATGATAGTATTAATAAAAAAAGAATATACGTCTCCTCTTCATCAATATTTAATGGCAATTGTATGTGTATTCAAGACACTTTAAGAGTAAATTTTACCTAAGACTTCTTTCAGAAGTGATCTGCCACCCAAGTTAAAATGGAGATTGCTTTCTTCCACTGCATTTAACAAAAACATTTTTAGCAAAAGGAAGGAAAACAATATAGTCATTCATCATGTGGTTAACCTCTTTAACGCATATCCTCAGTGTTGATTCGGCAGCATCTATATTTAGAGCGAGCAGAGCCCACACATAGATTATGGCACAGGCTAATATTTACTTGACGCTCGTTCATAAGTTGGTGTGGGTGGCAGGTAGCTAGGTGTAAAAGGACAATGGGTACTGGAGAAGGCTGTGGGCTCCCTTCATGGAAAAACACCTGTCCTTTTCTAGTCCCAGACTCCTCAGTAGGAGTAAGCAGCATCTTCGCCCTTCACCACTCTCTGCTGGAGCTCAGTGTGCCCCCATCAGGAGGGCAACCATATCATTAGTTGCCAAAACAAGACACTTGAGAGCTGCATTGTCCAGTAGACCCGAGCCACATGTGGCTACTTAAACTTAAATTAATTAAAATTAAATAAAAACTTCAGTTCTTCAGTCCCACAGGTCGCATTCCAAGGCCCTGACAGGCACAAGTGGCTAATGGCTACCATACTGGATAATACAGAAACAGAACATTTCCATCAGCACAGAAAGTTCGCCTGGGCAGCGCTGCTTTAGAAAATGAAAAGTGGTGCCCACCAGATGGGTTGGTTGGACAACAGGTGTAAACCAGAACAACCCTAGGTAAACTGGGACCTATGGTCACCCTGTTCACATGACAGATATTTAACTTAGGCCTGAAGTAAACGGGTATTTAGGAAATCAACCTATTCCTCAATGACACAGCAACTAAAACCCATTGTATCAGAATGCATATAATGCCATGAAGGAGCATGCTGGTCCATAGAGTTCTTAATGTCCAATGTCCAGCCCTGTCCAAAAGAACTTTTTACACTGATGGAAATGTTTATACGGTACCCACTAGCCATGTGTGGCTATTAAGCACTTGAAAAGTAGCTCGTGTGACTGAGAAACTGGATTTTTAATTTTATTTATTACTTTAAATTTAAAGACACCTGAGCCTAGTGACTGCCAAATTGGACAGTACAGCTTTAATCAACTAATCCTACTATGGAAAAGAGAAATGAGGTGAATTTGGGTCAGAAGCTCTGGGAGGCTAGAGAATGCATAAACCAGTATGACAGCAAAGCAAAATGGGCTGGTGGCTTTTGAAACAAAATGGCACCTACCTCTTTATTTGTGGAGGCTTCCGCGGGGTCACTGGGATGATGGGGTGTACCAGAGGACTCTGCACCCAAGGGTGAGGAACTGCCAGGAGAGGGAGACTAGAACACAGCAAGAGACGAAACACCAGTGAGAATCTGAGGGAATCGGCCGACAGCCGGGGTCAGGGACAAGGGAGAGAGGAGAAAGCAGAACACACCTGAATGAACATATGAATAATGACAAAACCTCTTCAGAAGGGAGCTGTCAACAGCACGTGAGAGGCCTTGGCTTTTAAGCTTTCTTTTTAATTACTGTCATGTTTTCAAAGGAGCTCTTACAGCTCATAGTCCTCCTCCTGCCCTCGCCCTGAAGCCAAGTGTTCAAAGAAAACATAGAAATAAATTGAATATCAAACACAAAGCCCTAGATGAATAAAGCTAATGGTGTTACGCAAATATATTTTTTTAAAATTTCCTTGCTGAAGGATACAAATGGGAGCCAAACATCTTATAAATTCACCTGCCCAACCTCATCTGGATGAGAAAGTAAAAATTAAAACACGTATTTTTAAGGAGACAGCTGGGACTGATTTTGATGATTGGAAGCCACACCACCTGAATTTTTCTAGTCAGTTCCAATTTCAAATATTTTGTCGTTTCATCCATAGGCTGTTGAAAATTCAGAGAAATATCAGCATTTCAGCCTCCAAACATTACCCTGGCTGCTCTTGGAACAGTTCAAAAATCCTTTGTTAAACATGTTTGAAAATAAGGCTGACTAAGCTCTCAGTCATGTGTCTAGCACACAGTAGTGCTCCATAAATATGTCGTGAATGAGCGACCAAATAAAGTTAAGAGCATGGGGATGCGGTTGATGCAGGCTCTCCAAGTCCTCCCCCACAGATCCCCAAACATTTCTGTATGCTCCTGAAATCTTGGGAGATGAAGGGAATCTTCAGGTGGGCCACAAGGGATGCATAAGAATTCTGTAGCGATGGTCCTCTGACAGTAAGAATGCACTGCTTCACAAAAAACACAGAGAAACCACGCAAGGGTCTGTTCTCCGATGAAACATAGGGATGTGAGCAAGGAGAGGTAAATCCTGGGCAAAGAAAGCAAAATAACATCAGTGTTTGCTTGCATGTGTGTCTGATCTATTGGAGATTGACCCCCTTGGGAAAGCTGAGGCATAAGTACATCAGTAAAATACCTCTGATGGAAAGGGAACATGTTTCACAAAGCAATGGTGCTAGTGAGGGAAGGGGGTACGCCAAGATCTAGGGGGTCCTAATGGGCATTACATGAAATCACATAAAAAACAAACTCTCTTTCAAAAAATCTGTTGTTGTTGTTAGCTGTCACTGAGTTGGCAATGGCAACTCATGGTCTCACAGTGACCTTATGTATGCGTAACAGAACACCTGTTCCTGTGCCATTTTCATGATCGTTGGCATGTGCCAGCCCGTTGTTGGCAGCTATCACACCAATCCACTGCATAGAGGGTTTCCCTGGTTTTCGCTGACCCTCGACTTCACCAAACAGGATGTCCTTTTCTAGCACCCAGTCTTTCCTGATGACGTGTCCAAAGTAAGCGAGCCAAAGTTTTGCCATCCTCGCTTCTAGGGAGCATTCTGGTTGTATTTCTTCTAAGACAGATTTGTTCATTCTTCTGGCAGTCCACAGTATACTCAGTATTCTTCGCCAACACCACAATTCAAACGCATTAATTCTTCTTTGTCTTCCCTTTCCACTGTTCAGCTTTCACATGCATATGAAACAACTGAACACACCATGGTCGGGCATGCCTTAGTCACCAAAGCAACCTTACTAGAAATACCAAAAACAAACAAACAAACAAACAAAAACACCAAACCCACTGCCGTCGAGTCAATTCCAACTCATAGTGACCCTACAGGACAGAGAAGAACTGTCCCATAGGGTTTCTAAGGAGTGGCTGCTGGATTGGAACTGCCAATCTTTTGGTTAGCAGCCGAGCTCTTAACTACTGTGCCACCAGGGCTCTGATACTAGAAATAAACGGGGCATCAAATGAACAGAAAGATGATGCAATGAACTGCCAATTATTCACACTAACAGGGTCCCAGCCTATTGCTGCGAGGCCTGCATTTGTTTCCCATGAGCCCATACACCTGATTCTAGTCAGGGAGGTGTGAACCAATGAGACAGATAAATATTCACACGCGTGCATCAGATGCTCCGCAGTAAAGCCAAGAGGGCAGGCACAGGGTAAGAGCAGACATAAAGTGTCCAAGCCCCACAGCCCCTGGCCACATTCAAGTAGCCCTGCATGCCTTTAAAAGGAAACATACAGAATTTTTCATGCGGCACCCAAGAGAGCTGTGGTACTTACTGATGTAGCTCTATATTGGGCTGACCCAAAATTAATGTAGCAAAATCTTCAGGAGAATTTAATGCCTTTAAATTGCCCCAGATTTTCCAAATGTGAAGAGCTTTCTTAGATATTTACATCTCTATTTTCTTCCCCAGTAATTTTCTCTGTCACGAAGATTTTAAGATTTTAAGTCCCACTAGACCCTGGGGACTCTACTACCCCTGTTTTTTCTTTGCTTGGTTTAAGGGCCTTGCAACACCTTTATTTTACTTTTAACTTACACATATTAACTTCTTTAACACCTTTTTTTTTTTAAAAAAAAAAAAAAAAAAACATCCTTCAGAAGAGTTCCAAAGCCATTATTTCTCTATTAAACTATTTTTTTTTTTTTTTGCTCCAGGTCTTTGAAAAATGGATTCTTTGCAATGTTGCAGGCAACAGATCACCTTAGAAAGATGTAAGAAGGCAGGTTATCTGACCAGTGGGCTGGGATGTGGAACAGGGAGACTAGAGCCCACAGTGACTAAGTAGCCAGTGCTGGGCACCGCCAAACACTCAAGAGACACAAGTGGGGTGGCTGTGGGCGCTGACTGTGCAGCAGTTCTGACGGAGCCACGCCGACCTTATCAAGGACCACTTCCCCCGGATGCCTGATGCGCTAGCCTTCTGCACACCAATGTGCTCCTTCACGCTCCTTTCCATTTACATGTGCAATTAATAACCACCATCTACAAAGTTCTCCCTCATCCTCTCCTACAGTCAATGGTCAATTCAAAAGCCCTCATCTTGCTGAAGCTTTCTCAGACTCTTGACAACACACATCTTTTTTGAGGGCACATGGAATATTTTGTAATTACTTGTTTATGTGTATGTCTCCCCCGACCGCCAAGAGCTCTTAGATGGTAGGGACCCTGTTTTATTCATCTCTGCAATTCAAGTGCCAAGCACTGGGTTTTGTAAATAGTAGGTACTTCATAAATATTTGGAGTTCCTGGGTGGTGCAAATGGTTAATGCGCTCAGCTGTAAAGGTTGGAGGTTTGAATCTACCCAGAGATGCCTTGGAAGAAAGGTTTGGCAATCTATTTCTAAAAAAAATCAGCCACTGACAACGCTATGGGGCACAGTTGTACGCTGACACACTGGGGTCGCCATGAATCAGAACCGACTTGATGGCAACTGGTTTTTAATAAATGTTTACTGAATAAATGACTTCAGTGTAGCTTCTAGCTTTACAATGTTTTCCAACTTGGATGGAAGCTAATATGTTAGAATCTACCCCATTTTCTGTCATTGTTTTCCAGTGGTTAGTAGTAAGCCCTGCTCTGACGCAGCATCCCTACACTGCTACGTGTAGAATGTTAGATCTGCATTTTAAATTAAAGAAACGGTCTTTGCCTGCTAGACTCAGATCTGAGTTCCAGCAAAGCTCTTCTGAAGGACAAAGCTGTCCAAAATGGGAGTGGGTCTGCTTGGTGAAGCCTACTTATGGCCATGCACCACTGTTGACAAAGTCAAGGTTGGACAAACACCATCAGAACAGACACAGCTTCCATAAAGCCTAAACAAAAACCAAAAACCCAAACTCACTGCCGTCGAGTCGCTTCTGACTCATAGCAACCCTACAGGACAGAGTAGAACTGTCCCATAAGATTTCCAAGGAGCAGTTGGTGGATCTGAACAACTGACCATTTGGTTATAGCTGAGCTCTTTAACCACTGTGCCACCAGGGCCCAAGCCTAAACAAAGGCCCCAAGCCGAAACATCTCAAGCATCTGCTTTAAAAGCCCTTTGCCCCTTACCTCTAAATTCCACTTGGACATAACTTTCAAAAGTAGGAAAAAAGCCAGAAACTGGGTAACATTTTTTACTTTCAAAGAATGTACTGAAAGCAATATTTAGGCAATGAAATATGATAGAAAAAGCAAAAACCATTATCACATATTTCTGTTTAAGGTCTCATACCTCTTGGGTTACTGGACGGATATTCAATTTTAAGTAAATGAGACCAAAGGTGGGAAGCAAATGTGGGGCCAGAAATTCACAAAAGTAAGTACCTCTTGGAGCCCTGGCGACGCAGTGGTGAAGAGCTCGTCTGCTAACCAAAAAGGCTGGCAGTTTGAATACACCAGCTGCTCCTTGGAAACCCTATGGGGCAGTTCTACTCTGTCCTATAGGGTCGCTATGAGTTGGAATCGACTCAATGGCAAGGCGTTTGGTTTGGTTTTTGGTGTGGGGATATCTACCTAAGACGTAGAGCTCAAAGATGATTCAACAGCTCCCTGTTCTGCATAATTACAGGGGGTCTCCTTGAACTCAGTTCTGGGGTTCTACAAAGCAGAGCTCTCAGCCTCAAGACTTAGGTTCCTCATTGCCAGGATGAGACATATAGGGTCCGGTCTAGTGGCACAGGAGTCAGAGGTTGCCCTAAGGGTGCAAAAGCATCCCAAGGGAAAGCTGATCCTTTCAATTCTGACTGAACATCTCCTAGGGGCAAACACTACTGCTGGTTGGGGGGTGAGACAGACAAACAGCTCAAGGAACTTTCAGGCTCTGCCAGTAGGGAAGAAAAGCAGCACACAGACAATTATTATTCATTTATTCCTTCAACGGACATTTCAGAGCCTACCCGTGTTCCTAGCACTCAGCCAGGAAAGAGGAAGGAGACATGGTTTTATCCTCCACACCACACCTTTCCAGATGATGGGAGGGAGGTAGATAGGTACAGCCAGGGATGTGGCTAAGATATTAATCTGTATGGTGGGGACA